GCGTGAATGGGAGGAGAAAACAGCTCCTAACCCGGAATACAAAACTAAAGAATTTATTGAATTTCTTGAAGCTAAATGTAACATGTTAGAGAATGTTAGTGCATTAGATAATACAAAATTAGATAGCGAAAAATCGAAAAAGTGTAAAGGTGTAGCTCATGTTACTAATGAATCAAAATTAAAGTGTCCTATATGCAAAAAGGATCATAAAGCCTATCAATGTGAAACATTTAAGAGTTTAAGTGTCAAATCGAGATTAGCCGAAGTGCATAAAGCAAGGCTTTGTCTAAACTGCTTACATCCAAATCATATAGTTCGCGACTGTAGGTCCAGTGCATGTAAGTATTGTAGCAAAAAGCATCATTCATTGTTGCATTTTCCGAATAGTGATAATGAAAATAAAAACGATAAAGAAAAGGAAGTTAAAGCGGAAGTAGAGGTGAGCAAAACAGGCTCAGTAGCTAATTCAGTAGTAACATGTGTTCCAAAGTGTACGAACTCTGAAATTCTTTTGTCCACCGCATGTGTGCATATCGTAGATAAGAACGGAAAATTACATCAAGCGCGGGCGTTATTAGACAACGCAGCAACACTTAATTTTATAACCTCAGATTTGCTTGCTAAGTTGGATTTACAACCGGAAAAGGTAATAGGTCAGGTAATCGGGTTTAGCGGAAATGCTACGCGTACTGAAGAAATTGTAACGGCGACAATTAAATCAAAAGTGCAACAATATTCCCAATCGCTAAAATTTACAGTAGTTGATAAAATTACTAGTAGCATCCCAGAGAGTCAAATCGATATATCCCAATTGAAGCTTCCCGATTCCGTAGCCATCTCGCAATTAGCTGATCCAACGTTTAATGTACCACAAAAAATAGATCTGTTATTAGGAGCCACATCCTTCTGGAATGTATTGCAAAAGGGACGAATTCAACTCAATAACCAACAACCGATATTCCAAAACACGAAGCTCGGGTGGATTTTAGGCGGAAATTTCACACCCAATCAAACATCCTCAACAAAAATTTGTTGTCTTGTAACCAATGATGACCTCAACGAACAATTAGAGAGATTTTGGGAGCTTGAGAAATGTGACCTCAAAAGAGCCATGACTATTGAAGAAGCAGAGTGTGAGAAGCATTTTGAGTCAACTACCTATCGAGATAAAGATGGAAGATTTGTTGTATCGCTGCCACTGAAAGGAAAAATCCAGGAGTTAGGAGAGTCCGAGCACAACGCGATGAAAAGACAAAAATCAATTGAGCGTCGATTCACGAATGATTCAGTGTTTCAGCAACGTTATAGAGACTTTATGCAAGAATATCAGAAGATGAAGCATATGGAACTAGTTCCCGAGAATGAGGAAAAACTCAGCGTCGTAAATTATTTGCCACATCATGGAGTTACGCGCGAAGAAAGTACTACAACGAAACTTAGAGTGGTGTTTGACGCATCCTGTAAAACGTCATCGGGTCAATCACTGAATGATTTGCTGATGGTAGGTCCCAAAGTCCAGCAAGAACTCATGGAAATCTTGATACGGTTTCGACAACATGATTATGTCTTAATCGCGGACATTTCAAAAATGTTCCGTCAGATCAAAGTGAACCAAAAGGATAGATCATTGCAGAGAATTCTCTGGCGAGATGATCCCAAGGATTGTATTCTCAAATTTGAACTAACAACGGTAACTTATGGAACGGCATCTGCACCGTATCTTGCACAAAGATGTCTTAAACAGTTGGCACTCGATAACGATCAAGCGTATCCATCAGCAGCAGCGACAATTCATAATGACTTCTACATGGATGATTTAATCACAGGGAGTGATTCTGTATCACATCTACAGCAACTAAAACAGGAAGTAGTGAAGATTTTAGCCACGGCTGGAATGGAACTCAGGAAGTGGAACTCTAAC